AGTTGAGGTGACCACTAATTTTCTGAAATGCTACACTTTCATTTTTTTTTTTTCTTCATAGTGAAAACTTTTATATTTGGAGTTAGCCAGCTGGACTCAGTTTAGATGATCCCAATTTTGTTGGCAACATCCAAAGCATCATAGTCAGGAGCCAGTCGAACATATGCCTTCTTCTCTCCATCAGGCCTGATCAGAGCATTGACCTTAGCCACATCAATGTCAGAGAGCTTCTTCACAGCCTGTTTAATCTGGTGCTCGTAGGCCTTGACATCCACAACGCACACCAGTGTGTTGCTGTCTTCTATTTTCTTCATGGCTGACTCGGCGGTGAGGGGGAATTTGATGATGGCGTAGTGGTCAAGGTTGTTTCTCCTCGGGGCGCTCTTCCGAAGATATTTGGGCTGCCTCCTGAGCCGCAGTGTTTTGGGCCGCCAGAAGGTAGGTGACGTCCGGATCTTCTTTTTCTTGTGGCTGTGGACACCTTTCATCACGGCTTTCTTGGCCTTCAAAGCCTTTGCTTTGGCTTCAGCTTTAGGAGGGGCAGGGGCTTCCTTCTTCGCCTTTGGCGCCATCTTCATGAAAAGGGTTTCTGAGACTTCTTACCACGGGCTTATAGAGCCAACTCTCTATACTTTCATTTTGACTTTTGATTTCTTCTTTGACATTTGGGAGAATGTTTTCAGTTTCTAAGGGAGCTTTTCCCTTCTAATTTATCCTTTTATTATGCACTTCTGGTTTTAATGCACTGTGATCCATGACAGTGGTTTTCAATTCTGCTTTCCAGAAATGACTAAGTTTATGTTGTATGTGTGTATTTGTAAATTTCTAATGGGTATTTGAAAGAAATTTGTGTTTTTAAATTATGACATATAAAAGTAAATGCATGCCAATTAAATAATTTCATTTTTAAAATCAATTCTAATGTTTCCTTTTTTCCTATTTAGCATTCTAAGAAAAATATATTAAAGACTCTCATTGTGACTACCATTTTGTCCATTTCTCTTTGTATTTGTAATAGCTTTGACTTTCATATGTCAATGATGTTATTTACTTTATTAGAGGCATTTATGACAATTACACTTCCCTCTGTGAATTTAACTTATTCATTGCAAAATGATTCTGTACATTATGCTTTTATCTTAAAATCTACCCTGATACTAATATTGTTATCTCTATTCAAATTTTGCCCATTTTGTGTACAGCAAGTTCTTACAAATAGTATACACTTCATATTAATATGTTCTAGAAATCCCGCAGTGTTTGTGGTCCAGCAAAGGTAAGTTCTGTTTTCCAGGGCTACTATGAAGTTTCCCTTATTTTTCTATTTCTTCAATCAATTCTTGAAACTACAATCCTTATGTTTATTTTCATTCTGTAGATTTTCACTTTTATAAGTTAAAGATACAATATCCTAGGTTTTTTTTCTCATTTTCTTCCAACTACTACTGTCCCTACAGTCTTATTTTCTGGTGCTTCTCGTCATTAAAGACATTTTACAATTCTCTAACTGGGAAAAACTGGATACCTTAAGCAACATTATGACACTGCACAATGTAATTATGTCTGCATTAGGAAAATCCTAGCAAATATTTTTACTAACAACTGAATAGATTGCCAAATGATATAATTCAATATGAAAAATAAAATTAAATAGTCAAATTTAAACTTATATAATTTTACAGCATTTACTTACGCCTCGGAATCATATTGCCACACATAGATGAGCAGAGAATTAGTATGAGTTTAGAAAATACATTCAGTAAGGAACACATACTTCTCTCTCTAGCTTCACTGTGTCAATAACATGTGGTGTAACACTATGATTTGTATTACTTTTTCACTTAAAAAAAGAGATATAAATGTAAGTTATCTAAAGTAGAAATGTTCTCAACAACTTTTCTTTTTGGATGGGAATGGGACTGATTTCTTCAAAACATGCCCTGAAACTGACATGGAAAATAGGCATAAGTATTTCTAGTAAATGTAAGAAAAAGACAGACTTAATCTAATAAATAGGGGAAATAAGTGGTTAAAATAAATGAATGCTTCATGAGGAAAGGAGCTTCTTAACAGTGTTGGAAACAAAGTGGTGGAAACATTCTGTATCAGCCAGACCACTGAGAAAACATTTGCTACAAAAAAATACCTCGGAGAATACATTTAATGATACAACAGGCCCTGCACTGGTCTAACGTCTACAATTTCATCTAATTGTCAGTAATGGAAAAAAAGGAAGGAAAGAAAGATTACAAAAAACACATGGGCCCGTCTGTCTTTCCGCATGTAACTCTGTGGGGATTCTGTACTAGAATTACATAATAGCAAAATCTGGTCTGTGACATGTAAGAAAAATTATTACAACCATGCTATTTTCCATGCTACATCTGTGAGTATAAAGTACAGTTGAGAATTCAAATTCTCTGTTTTGTCACACTTACAGAACAGTGGGGAACACTGAAAATTTTCCCTATTGGAATTACCTTGAACCCCCACCAGAAATCTCACTAGGGTATTTTTCTTTCTTTTAATTGGTAGGGAATTTTTCCTTCCCTAAAACAACATTTGCTTACTTTTGACCCTTGTTATCAAATATGAGAGACACAAAATGTATGCAAACAGAAATCTGATTATTTTAGCTGGTACTGTTCTTTTCCTGTTCACTTGTCTGGAACAGTGACAGGACCATAGAACGTGGATTCTGAAGGGATCTGAAGGGTGTGACTTAGTTGTGTAAGGTGCCCATAACTGTTTAAGTGCTTAAACGGAGAGTGGAACCAGGTGGATATCCTGAGTCCTGTTCCCATCTCTGTGCTTCCCCAAGTGACTCTTATTTATCACTTGTGTAAAGTGATGAAAAAGCCTGATTATAACTTCCTCTAGCCACTCCCCATTCCCAAAGAGATGCTGCTGAGAAAAAGTGAAGACATGACTTAATGTGGCCAGCTGCCACTCTGTCTTCCTTCTCACCAAAACATATTAGTATTAATAAATGATGCATCACTTCTGGAATTCATTTCACATTTTCGAAGGTCAAAGGCAGCTTGTTGGAAGCTCTACACTTCTATCAAAAAGCATAACATTTGCAATGTAGTTTGCACCAAACTCCCTAGGATATAAACTTCCATAATCTAAACACTTACTCAGTGTCATACCATAGGGCACCTCCGTCAGTTTTCTTTTGTTTCTGTTAGGGATCTGATCGGTGATACCCTTGAAAAGAGCTAATATATGAATTCACTAGGTTCTCCTTTTTTCTCTGAGAACTGAGAGGTGTGCAAGTGATGAACAGCCTTCAGGGAGTCGCCAGGCTGTCTTCCAAGAGGCTCATGAGGCAATTTACCAGTGAGTCCAGCCCCGGAGGCTCGGAAATTAGATTACCATGCCAGGGACACCTCCTGCTCTCTGGGGTGGAGAACAGTACCTCAGCTCACAGACTGACTTATAAAACCAGAAGAGTATCAAGAAATGGGTCCCAACAAGAAATGGGTCTGCCTCAGGAATGCGAGCAGTGCGCCTGTAACTCAGCCCATGGCCTCAAGTCCAGGTGGCTGATCTGGGAGAAGGAACATCTGGCAAAGCGAGCCATGCATTCGTGAGGCTAGGGAGAAGGCATGCTCTTCACCTGAGTTAAGGTATCTTGGAAAGTAAACAATCAGAACAAGGGAAGTCAGAATGATGGGCTTTTTAAGGGGTAAGTCGGTGTATCTGTCTCAAAGCGAGGACGCACACCAGGAGGACTGGATCACTGGGAAGCACCAGGGACCACCTGCTGCATGCACGGCCACCCAAGGGTGGTCTCGTCGAGGGGTCAGAAGAGCCTGTGCGACCCTGTGCACCGGTCCAGCCTTCCACACCCATCTCCACGGAAGGGGCAAAGGTCATCAGGCTGTTGGACAGAACTGGAGAGGCAGTTTTAGTACTGGTCTCCCCATCCCACTTTCATAAACAATACCTCCGTCCCCCACCTTTCTGACTGACACTCTTCTTTAATAAAATTACAGTCAAACCTTGGAACTAACCAGAATTTTTTTTTCTGGAAACTGATTTTCAACCTGGAAACTAATCAGATTTTTTAAGGTAAATTTATACAGCTAAATCTTGCACCATTAGGGTTTTTATTTAAAAGTTTAAACCTTTATTTCAAATTCTTGGGGGAATATTTAACAGTTCAGGCTATTTTCACAGTGTCAATCAAGCATGTATTGGTCGCTCAGTCATGTCCGACTCTTTGTAAACTTATAGACTGGAGCCCGCCAGGCTTCCCTGTCCATGGAATTCTCCAGGCAAAAATACTGGAGTGGGGTGCCATTCCCTTCTCCAGGGGATCTTCTCGACCCAAGGATTGAACCTGGGTCTCCTGCAGTGCAGGTGGATTCTTCACCATCTGATCCACCAAGGAAGCCATAACTGGCATATAAATTTTCTTTTCTACTCTTAATATAACCTGCAGTGCCAAGAAACAAACATGTCAGTAAGAGGAAACATCATCTCATTTTTCAGAGAATGTCTTCTTCCACCATTCCTGCAGTAGACATGTTTTACTAAACTTTATATAAGAATGTAAACTCCCTGAGGCAGGGATTTTGGCTTATTCACTGATTTATTCCAGGTGCCGAAAACATGGAGTGTTCAATGAATACAACCTACAATCTAAACCACATCATTCAAAAAAGAAAAATCATAAACTACGATGTGAGGCTCTAAAACAATATATATTATCAATTTGATATCTCTCAGTCTACTAACTTTCAACATGTCATTTTTAAACAAAACCTCTGCTGAAACAGGATTATAATTACAGAAGTATATCATATTTAACAAGATATTTAACAAATGTTTGTTGACATTTATCAATGTAAAACTATTTCAAAATTCTTTATCATTTCAATTTTCATCTTTTTTTCATATTTTAGTTTTTAAATTTATACTGGAAAGAAGTTTCTGGGAATATATGTTTTTCTTTTATAAGTGCAAAGTGGAAGTCAATGAAAAGGCTTTACCTATCACTTTGTTCTTCTTTCCATTTTTTATAGGTGTACAAAGCAAACTTCTAATGCACTGCTGGTTTACATTTCCCATGTTTTCATTCTAAACAAAAAAACAAAAAGCAAAACAGCTAAATACTATGAACAGATTGTCTGCCCATTAGATGCTACAAGCTATATTGGACATATGAAGTTATTAGCATGCTTATCTTTTATTAGCTGGACATACATCAGAGTGTAAAAAATGCACAAATTATAATGCAGTTCATATAAATGCAATATAAAGAAATCAGTCTTTACTAAAAATAATAAGTATCCATTTTAATGTTTTTATTTTCCATTTTATTTACCTATATTTCTTTTATTTTCCATTTTAAAGTTTCTAAGTAGCTTACAGTAGTACTAAGCAAAATATTTACTGAGTTCCTACTATCCCTGTGTAGTAGATGTCTCAAGTAACTTAATAAGAAGAGTAGAAATCAGAATCTTTACACCACCAAGGATTCTACATGTTACAAATTTCTCCTTCTTTAGTTTTACCACTGTTTCTATTGTCCATATTGCTACAGTCCTAAAAAGGTCTCCTAGATATGCAAATAACCAAGTCAAGGCAGCTGCCTCCAACTGCAAGGCTTTTCTGAAGTTAAATGAGAGAAAGTACTAGAATCTAAAGTTTTCAGTGTCTGAGAAACTGACCCTTGTAGGCTAGCTTTCAAGAAAAACAAATACTCATTTTTTTTTTCACGAGCTGTTCACTGTGGTAGATAACCAGTTACAGACACTCAAGCCATATGGAACTTAATTTTTGAAAACAAAGTTAGGAACTCTAGCAACACTATCTAAAGAGTGTCAATTGATATTAAGTAGGTAATAGTGAAACTATGTCAAAGTTAATGATATTTCATTAGTACATGTTTTAAAAACTGACAAAAGTACAGAGAAAAATACATAAGTATAGCTGACCACCTCTCAACAGATGTTCTGAGCTCTTTTATTTTCCTTCCTCAGATCAGGGCAAGCACAGGTCACTTCCAAAGAGCCATTGCTAGAGCCAGTCCTTCAGTCAAGAGTAACTAGTATAGAGCAGGTCTGCAGGAAAACAGCCGGCAAGCTCCAAGTCTAAAACTGGGTTACTTACTGTCCAGGGAAATCTTTTGTCCTTACTGACATCTGGGATATTAAGTGGTTCCATAGTATTTTTGACATACTGAGCATACATGTAATTGATTCTGTTTGCATCACGTTCCCTGTGGAAAGAACAGAGATGAGTTCTTTCCAAGCACTGAAAAAACACAGGCAGAACAGATGGTTATAAGAGAAACATATCTGTCTTAAATGATAGAGCACGGTGTACAAGTTAATTAGAAAATGAAGCTTTAAACATATTTGATGATGCACAACTTTAGTAGTTACTATAACTGAGATTTTATGAAAAAACAAAGGCTCACAATTTTTCAGCTATTGAAAATAAGTTTAAAATGTCATTAGGTAATCTTATTACCACTGTTAACAGTCATGTTGATTTTTGTGCCATTTAATGTGAAATCCATAAGAATTTTCCTCTATGTCTTTTTTTCTCACCAGATTATAGAATGACTAAAGTCGAGTGTCTGTTTTTATTCCTTATTTAATTTGTCTACTCATTCCAATAAAATAATCTTTTACACATTTTAGATGAAGAGAAAAATCGAGCAGGTCTAGAATTTTATTAAGTTTTTCTCTCTTCATTTTCTTGCTTTGAGGTGCTTTAAGACATGTATTTAAATTAAAAACAATGCTTTTGAACTTACAATATTTTCCCAGCTCTTTTTCCAGTTTCTTGCTTAACAGGTAGAACATAAAAAGTTAACCTGATGTCAGAGGGTTCATAAGGATAATGCTAGTGCCAGAGTTGGGAAAACAGAATAGAATATGTCTTTTCATTAGGAAACTTCCTACACTCCCTGGTGATGGGAATAAACTTGACAAACATGGTTAGGTTATGGAAATTTCCTCCATAAATCTCTGAAAGGATGTGCCTACAGTAACTGTAAGATCATTAACTGAAGAAATAGGAAAGCCTAACAGTGGGAAGAACTATACAAAAAATATCTTAATGACCCAGATAACCATGATGGGTATCTAGAGCCTAGAGCTAGACATCCTGGTATGTGAAGTCAAGTGGGCCTTAGGAAGCATCACTACTAACAAAGCTAGTGGAGGTAATGGGATTCCAGTTGAGCTATTTCAAATCCTAAAAGATGACGCTGTTAAAGGGCTGCACTCAATATGCCAGCAAGTTTGAAAAAATCTGCAGTGGCCACAGAACTGGAAAAGGTCAGTTTTCATTCCAATCCCAAAGAAAGGCAATACCAAAGAATGTTCAAACTACCACACAATTGCACTTGTCCCAAACACTAGCAAAGGAATGCTCAAAATTCTCCAAGCCAGGCTTCAATAGTACATGAACCATGAACTTTCAGATGTTCAAGCTGGTTTTAGAAAAAGCAGAGGAACCAGAGATCAAATTGCCAACATCTGCTGGATCATTGAAAAAGCAAGAGAGTTCCAGGAAAACATCTATTTCTGTTTTATTGACTATGCCAAAGCCTTTGACTGTGTGGATCACAATAAACTGTGGAAAACTCTGAAAGAGATGGGAATACCAGACCACCTGACCTGTCTTTTGAGAAACATATATGCAGGTCAGGAAGCAACAATTAGAACTGGACATAGAACAACAGACTGGTTCCAAATAGGAAAGGGAGTACATCAAGGCTGTATACTGTCACCCTGCTTATTTAACTTCTATGCAGAGTACATCATGAGAAACGCTGGGCTGGATGAAGCACAAGCTGGAATCAAGACTGCCAGGAAAAATATCAATAATCTGAGATATGCAGATGACACCACCCTTATGGCAGAAAATGAAGAGGAACTAAAGAGCCTCTTGATGAAAGTGAAAGAGGAGAGTGAAAAAGTTGGCTTAAAGCTCAACATTCAGAAAACGAAGATCACAGCATCCGGTCCCATCACTTCCTGGGAAATAGATGGGGAAACAGTGGAAACAGTGTCAGATTTTACTTTTTTGGGCTCCAAAATCACTGCAGATGGTGACTGCAGTCACGAAATTAAAAGATGCTTGCTCCTTGGAAGAAAAGCTATGACCAACCTAGATAGCACATTCAAAAGCAGAGACATTACTTTGCTACCAAAGGTCTATCTAGTCAAAGCTGTTTTTTTCCAGTAGTCATGTATGGATGTGAGAGCTGGACTATAAAGAAAGCTGAGTGCCGAAGAATTGATGCTTTTGAACTGTGGTGTTGGAGAAGACTCTTAAGAGTCCCTTGGACTGCAAGGAGATCCAATCAGTCCATCCTAAAGGAAATCAGTCCTGAATATTCATTGAAAGGACTGATGTTGAAGCTGAAACTCCAATACTTTGGCCACCTGATGCGAAGAACTGATTCATTTGAAAAGACTCATTTGATGTTGGGAAAGACTGAAGGCAGGAGGAGAAGGGGATGACAAAGAATGAGATGGTTGGATGGCATCACCAACTTGACTGACATGAGCTTGAGCAGGCTTTGGGAATTGGTGAAGGACAGGGAAGCCTGGCGTGCTGCAGTCCATGGGGTTGCAAAGGGTCAGACACGACTGAGCAACTGAACTGCCTGAACTGAATAGTGGGAAACATTTCAAAATAAAGTGGTATCTAAGGAAAACTGTCCACTTGCTCTGAGTTCTCAAGTTTCCAATCTTTTCCTATCTTCCATCCTTCTCACTCAGCCTGCCAAAACTGCTTCTAGGATGGTGGTCTCAAATGGTGTTCTTGATCACTAGTGATACCACAAAGACTCCTGAAGTCATGGCCTCATTCCTGGCCAAGATATTTCAGTCTTTCCTTTCTCTGATGTGGCCAGAATACTGGAGTGGGCAGCCATTCTCTTCTCCTGGGTTTGAGACCCAGATCAAGACCTGGGTTTGATCCCTGGGTTGGGAATATCCCCTGGAGAAGAGAACAGCTACCCACTCCAGTATTCTGGCCTGGAGAGTTCCATGGACTCTATAGTCCATGGGGTCGCAACGAGTCGGACATGACTGAGTGACCTTCAGTTCTTGGATGTACACTTTAGGTTAAGTGCAATTTGGCCAAGTCAGGTAATGACCATATGTACAGTATTATATTCAAAGGAAAAAGAATGAAAGGAAACGACCATGGTAACAGAGAAATAGAAGAAATTCAGACTGAACATTTCTGAGTGTAAATTGATAATCTGGGAAGGCATATCTGTTAGACATATCTGACCTAGGATACTCCTGGCTTCCTAATACTTCATACATAATTACCCGGGGGAGAATCCCAAGAAAAGGTTACGAGATAAGTGCAGGATTTCGGTTAACAAAACTATTTTAAAACAATAAATATTTCATGGACAACGGAAGTCTCAGGAAAAGAAAAGAAGCTACAGAAAAGATAAGAAAAATGAAAAAGTATCTACAAAAAGAAAGAAGTACACTGGAAAGGATACCTTTGTTCAAATGTCTTTTATAATGATCATGATGATGATGATGATAGATGACTTTTGTTATTATCATTATTTCAACAGAGGGAGCCAGATGAACCCAAATAATTAAGCAGTTTGACCATTTTTTAAAGGAGTAAACATCTTTTTACTATTTTAAAAATAATAGGTGTCCCTGCATTTAACTATAATGATGTTTCCCAATATAATTATAATTAACAAGTAGTACATATATTCCAAGAACATGAGCTTAAAGGACTAATTTCATGGATTTGTCATGATGTGATAAAATGTGCATTTAAAATTAACATGGGGCTTCCCTGGTGGCTCAGATAGTAAAGAATCCACCTGCAATGCAGGAGACCTGAGTTCAATACCTGTATCGGGAAGATCCCCTGGAGGAGGGCATGGCAACCCACTCCAGTATTCTTGCCTGGAGAATCCCATGGACAGAGGAGACTGGAGGGCTATAGGCCATGGGGTCGCAAAGAGTCAGACACGACTGAGTTTAGACTAAGCACAGCACAAAATTAACATGAAGTTAACTAATATGGAATCGTAGCACTAAAACATCTATTTCTTAAAATTAAGAGCTTACAAAATCTGTATAACATAACATTCACTTTTCCTATTAATTAGGTGGCTCTCTGAATTGAAGCACAGAAAACTCTGAAATCTCCCACCATCTGGAAATGATCTTCACTTCTGAAATTCTTGGGTGACACAAACCCCAAGAGCTTACTGTGTTTTATCCCATTGATAATACGATTCTAATAATTATATATAATGTTCACCTTCACTATTCTTTATTTTTATACTTAACATTTCACAACTGTCTTCAATCAATTATTTTCTTTTTAAAAAGTTAATCAGATGGTTGGTTAGAAGAGTACTAAGTGAACCATGCTTTTCCACTGACACATAATTGCCTAAAAAGAATGATCTGCTTATAGCTAACATCACCAAACTGCCAAGCCTTTCATCTCATGAAAGAGGTTTGGATTGACAAAGTGTTTAATAATGAAAACTGGAAAGGCCTAAATTCTATCAATAAGAAATTTCAGAAATGTAATAAAGAATCTGCTGGTCAAGGGTCAGTATCAGCTAGTCATTTGATGATGCTAAAGTTACTAAACACCATTTTAGTTTTCACAAAATGAAGCCTGATATCTAATTTTTATTAAAATAAAAACATGCATCACTATGAGGTCTTGTACTGACATTAGATTAAAAGCTAACTATTAGCTAATGATGAACTTTGGACAGAGGTTCGTGACCTTGTACAGGAGACAGGGATCAAGACCATCTCCATGGAAAAGAAATGCAAAAAAGCAAAATGGCTGTCTGAAGAGGCCTTACATATAGCTATGAAAAGAAGAGAAGTTAAAAGCAAAGGAGAAAAAGAAAGATATTCCCCTTTGAATGCAGAGTTCCCAAGAACAGCAAGGAGAGATAAGAAAGCCTTCCTCAGTGATCAGTGCAAAGAAATAGAGGAAAACAACAGAATGGAAAAGACTAGAGATCTCTTCAAGAAAATTAGAGAAACCAAGGGAACATTTCATGCAAAGATGGGATCAGTAAAGGACAGAAATGGTATGAACCTAACAGAAGCATAAGATATTAAGAAGAGGTGGCAAGAATAGACAGAAGAACTGTACAAAAAGATCTTCATGACCCAGATAATCATGATGGTGTGATCACTCACGTAGAGCCAGACATCATGGAATGTGAAGTCAAGTGGGCCTTAGAAAGCATCACTATGAACAAAGCTAGTGGAGGTGATGGAATTCTAGTTGAGCTATTTCAAATCCTGAAAGATGATGCTGTGAAAGTGCTGCACTCAATATGCCAGCAAATTTGGAAAACTCAGCAGTGGCCACAGGACTGGAAAAGGTCAGTTTTCATTCCAATC